TCAAGGAAGGCGCCCTAGGCTGGGGGTGAAGGATACTACAAGAACAAAGAACTCACTTGGTGCAAGCAGCCCTCCAAGATCTTCCCGTTCAGATGCTAATCTGGTGTGTCTGATCCAAGCTTCTAAACCAGGGTGGAGCCAGTGAGCTGAGCTCTGGTCTCTGTTGTTCTTGGATCAGCTGTGTGACTTTAGAGACTTGACCTAACTTCTCTGAGCCTCAGTTTTGTTCTTTGTACAATATGATATGTACACACAAGGAGCTGTAAGGAATGAGTGAAAAAATGATTATGAGCTAGAGAGAGCATTCCAGTCCTCCAGTCCATCAAATCTAAACAAAGCCAAACCATTGTTCTATGTGCTAACACATAGCTTCCTTCTCTCCTGGAACAGATTTCTGCCCTGTTCTTGCACCATCCCATGCCATGCCACCTCTGCCTTCTTTGGACCTCCACAGGTGCCCTTGCCGTACACAGACCCCACACCATGTGGCCTCAGAGAACAGGAGGTTCAGAGGACAGTTCTCCAGGCTGGCGCTGGCTTCCTAAGTGGTGGACTGAGCCCCTAAAGACCAAGGAGTCACTTAGCAAGCGAAGCTGTCAGACCTTTGCCCTGGCCCCCACTCACAGGTGATGGGGTTATTCAGGAATTCTCTTCCCCTCTCTTGGGGCTGCTCGAGGGGGTCCAGCTCCCCAGTGACCTGGGGACACATTAGTCAGTGATAAGTGGGGCTTTCCAGGCCCTTTTATCCTGTTTACAATACACTGGCTTTCCTTGGACAAAACCCACTCCCCCCTGCGTTGCTCCTGGCTGTTATGGCTACATGAGACAATTTGCTGATGGAGTCTCGGTGGAGGGCAGCTTCCCTGAAGACCCCTTCCCACCTCCCTAAGCACCTGGGGCAACATCGTTGCTTCACCTGGTAGGTTCTGGGTGGGGAGTCCATAGGTGCTTGTTTTTCTTAGCTCATTGCAGTCTCAGAATTCAGAAATGTTATTCTGTCTGTCTGCTAAGCTTTACACGCAAAGGGAGCGAGCTAAGGGGCACAGAGATTATGTTTCTGTGGCTTTGGAGGTGTGACTAGGGTGCTGTTGCTGCTTAATGCAGAAGCAATTCAGGGGTGTCATTTGTTTGCTCAATGGTCACCCCCACATAATGGAAAGCTCCTCCCTTTTTGGAGTGGAAAAGGTAGGATAATATGTAGCAATTTCTTGGGGGTGTATGGCTGCAGCCTAGTCTCCCACCTTTAAAGAGCTTGGTCAGCTCAGGGAAGCACGTTCATCTCTTTGAAGACAATGTCTCTGTCTAGAAAACAGGGACAATGAAGCCTGTCCTGTGTCTCACCAGCTGGCTATGAACCTAGAAGGTGAAATTTTTTATTCATTCAGCATTCCACAACAATTTCTCTCTTTTTTTCCCCACAACAATTTCAAATTAAGACTCTTTCAGCAAGACTGGTCCCCCCTGTAGCTGGAAGTATACAATAATTACCTAGAAGTCAACTTTCAAATGACTCTGGACCTCCACAATGCCAAGGAGGTGCGGTGGTTGGGATGGTGAGCTGATTAAACGGAGTGTCACTTTCAAGGCAACAGATATATTACAAGCACTGAGCTGGATGTTGGGAAAATGCTGGAACGAAAAACACATCCCTGCCCCCAGAATAGCTCAGTTGTTCGACAGGGAATTGAGACATTTGGGAACTAGTGCTGAGGGAGCACAGGTAGCCAGGAAGCACAAGAGAAGAGATCCAATCCAGACTGAGTGTGGGGGACACTCCCTAAGGGAAGTAGAATCAGAGCTGAGACTAGATGAATAAGAGTTGAGCATCCTGTTTGAGCAGAGAGAAAGGTATTTGAGGCAGAAGGAACAGAGCATGCAAAGGCCAGAACACATGGGCCCTTGATGAGAAGAGCACCATTTAGCGTGGTGGAAGCAGTCAAGAATAAGGATTTGTTACTGTGTTCTATCAGATGACATCCAGCTTGTGTTTCAGAGAGATCTTGTGGGCAACATGGAAGAGGAAGCTTAGAATTTGCATATCATCAGGGAGATTTAGTGGCCTAGGGGCATGAAGCTGCACTGCAATACCAGAGGTGTGTAGTTCGAATCCACCAGATGCTCTGCTGGAGAAGGTGGTACAGTCTCCTCCTGTACCACCCTTGTGCAGGGGCCATGCGAAGCATCTGTGTATTGTTCCAATTTTAGTACATGTGCAGCCAAAACAAGCACAGCAGATGCTTAGAGAGGGAAGGGAGAGGAAGCATAAGGACAGAGAGGAGATCTGTGGCTGAGGAATGATGAGGGCTTGGCAGGCTCTTACAGCTTGGCAGGGGAGGTAAGACCTGTTCACATCTGGCATCCCTTGTATACGGCATGAGTGAACCCTGGTCCAGGTGGAAAAGAAAAGGGGTAAGAACAATACAGCTTCAGAAGGTACAGAAGAGGGGAGGTGCCAGGGGAGAGGGAGTGTAGGAAGCACTGGTTTTGCTAAAAATAAAAAAAGGTAACAGAATTAGTCTTTGAATCTGATTCGGATTACCAGAGTAATGCAACAGATTAATGGGGTCTCAGATGTAAGAATTCCATTTTACTGATTAAAAAACAAAGAACATTCAAACCCACTACATCCAGTTAGTTTCACCTCAGGGGGACCCACCCACCATTGGGGTTTCTGAGGCTGTAAACAAAACAGGAGGAGGCGGGCCATCTCTCTCTCACCTAGCAGCTGGCATGCTCAAAAAGCCAGAAAACATGTGCGCTATATCACCAGAGCTCCTTTAATTAGATTGAGAAATCTAAGGGTTGGAGAAAGCATGCTCAGATTTCAAGTGTAACACACCTCAAAGGGAACAAACAGACCCTGCACTGGTTTGCTGAATCCTGACATCCTAGAACTGACAGGCACCCACTGAAGTGCAAACAAGAGCAACAAGCATGAGGCCATCATGTTGATTTTCCTGAAACATTGCTTCGTTCCTTTACCCAAGTCTCAAAGCCCTCCAGAATTTCTCACTGTCTGAAAGATGGAGGCAGACCTTTTTTCTGTCCACAGAATGACTGACTTCCCATTTTCCTCCACTGCTCTCTAGTCAAGGGGATCCCCAGAGATTGCCTTCTAGGCCCAGCTACACCTTCTCAACTTTACTTGTTTTCCAGCACTCTGCCTCCACATGTACCTTAATCCAGCTGGTTGAATGTGAAAGATAGGACTGAAAAGATATCACTTTCTAGGATTATTGTATGAGGCCCAAACAAGAAAAGAAGACATTGTTAGAAGAGAAATTGTACATTATCTACATACTATAGGTAAACTTTTTCTTTACTGTCATTATCAGTCAACCCAGTAACAATTACCGAGTCACTGGAAGCCAGTATTCATGAGCAGCATGAAGGATGATGCAGTATCTTGAAAAAGAATAATTAGTATTAAATAAGTTACATCAGGAACTGGACAATGAAGATCTACATTGTGAAGCGCCTTTGCATTATGAGTTAAAAAAAATGATTGCTACTTTATTCCTAGTGTCTGTGACTGGTACATGGCGAAATCTAAGTAAATATTAGGACAAACATAGCCAGGGAATAAAAAATAAAAAAAAAGTATTGTGATGGGAAAGTCTGCTGTTAGAGACCTCTCCAAAGTACTGAAGAGCAATGGTGTCACTCTGCAGACTAAGGTGCATCTGATACAGGCTATAGTCTTTGCAATCACTTGGTATGCATCAGAGTTGGACAATGACTAGGAAGGATAGAAGGAGAATTGATGCCTTTGAGCTGTGGTGCTGGAGAAGAGTATTGAATGGACTATGGACTGCTAGGAAAACAAACAGATTCATCCTGGAGAGGGTTAAACCAGGCTGCTCCTTGGAGGCAAGGATTCTGGGACTTCGTCTGACATACTTCGGACATGTTGTAAGGAGGGACAGGTCCTTGGAGAAGGACATCATGCTTGGGAGGGTGGAGGGACGGCTCAAGAGGGGAAGACCCTTTATGAGGTGGATTGATTCAGTGACTGGGGTAATAGGAATGGGTGTGTCAGAGGCGGTGCGATTGGCTCAGGATAGCGCAGAGTTTAGGGCTGTTGTACATCAGGTCGCTATGAGTCGCAAGCGACTCAACGGCACATAACAACAACATTAGAACAAATGGAAAAATAATGTTACTGGGGAGAAATGTACGCAGGTGGAGTCTCTTGGGACACAACAACTGGGTGGGATCCAGGAAAATGGAAGCATCAACTTGCCAAAGGAAGAGGAACATCTCCTCCCTTGGGAAGGACTGCAGATAAGCCTGGGAGGATGGAAAGGGTTAGGTCCAAGTGAGGAGGCAAAAATGGCCATATCCTTTAAGTCCTAACCCAAATGCCACCTCCTCGGTGAAGCCTGAGTCTCCTTCCAGCCCCGATCTTAGTTAAGCTCAATCTCTGTGGACCTTTTGAGACTTTCTGCTTCACAGCGCCGTTTTTGTATACAAAGTTTCTTTTCTTTCCCATTCTGCGACTTCTGTGCAGGAGTTAGTTTCCCCTACAGCACACGTGACATATAGTAATCAGTCATTCAGTATGATAAACGGGAAGGATAGAGAGTAACTGAAAAGGCAAACTTGAGATAGGAGAAGCCTGCATCAAGGATTCATAGAGCAAAGAACTCACATTAACAATTCACTTAAGAAAAGTCTGGCACCACACTTTAATTCCTTTAACTTGCAGGTGTGCCTCGGTGTCTCCCTGCCTACCTTCGACCTTGCTTGAGGACCTCACGTCAGTACCTTGCGGCTGTCCTTGTCAATATCTGACTTAGTACTGAAGACGATCTTCTACGAAAACCTACACCTCCTTATTGCCCACGTGAGATCAAGTTTCTGATCACACTTAGTCTTCCTTTCCCAGTCTCTTTTCTCGGTTTTTCCCTATTTAGGTCGCATCGCTAGTCAGGCGCATATGCGGGCAGCCCTGGAGGGCGGGAAGGGAGGGCCCTGCCACCGGAAGCCGGTAGCCGGAAGGGGGAGTTGTGCAGACGTGTTCTGGGGAGGCCGGAGCTGGAGCCGGCGGGTCCGGCGTCATGGAGCCGCTGTACCAACAGACGCACAAGTGAGGGCCGCGGTGGGCACGGGCGTGGGTGAGGTCAGCCTGGGCGACGCCGACCTTGGGCCCTGAGACGTGGGGCGTCCGCTCTCGTGGGCGCCACGTCCTTGCGTCCGGGGCGACCCTATCTCTGGCTCCCTGCCCAGGTCAACGGACGGCAGAGGGTCCAGCCCGAGGCCTGGAGACATTGATCCTGGTGGTTCTAGGGGTCGCCAGCTGAGCCTCGGAGCCCGTGACCACCAGCTGGGCAGTCTAAGTGGCGGCAGAATGAAACCTGTTGGTTCTTATACTGCCTGGCTGCTCCTGTTGGTAGAACTTGGGTAGGAAACACCTTCTCTACCTAAAAAAGTTTACTGTTAATTGGAGAATCAAGACATGTTCGAAGAAATACTAGCGTGTGACAGGATGGGATGGAAGGTAAATTAGCAGTACAAGGAGGATTAACTTCAACACTGTAGGACGATCTAGCGTTGGATTGAGGTCAGAGAGCGTTCCATTGTAGCTCTCTTTTCCAAATGTCGTTCCCTACCCTGGATTGGCCTTAAGCGTACTCCTGTCACACTGGGACTTTTGTGCTGATTTGGTTTTCCTTAAAGACTATCTTTCCCCTCCCCCGCAGCACAAAGAAACTGCAGTAAAGTTTACATTCAGGGTTGTTATTTGCTGTTAGTATGTGATTTGAGTTGGCTTCCTTTAAGGAAATTTGGTTTAAAAAAATTTTTTTAGTTTCTTAAAACTTCCTTGATTGTGGCCTTTTATCCCTATTGCCTTGCATTTTTGAAACTTGCTGAGGTGTGCAGTTGGGCACGAACAAGCCCCATATCTAAGCTATCTTAACAACTTTCAGTTTTGTGCCACAGCTTTGCTCTGATTGAAACACTTAAAATCACACTTCCAGGGCCTGGAAATGAAATAAAATAGGCATCCAACTCCTCTGGTGGATTCACAAACAAAGACATACTTTATTTTTATAAAATTTTACATTGATTTGTATACATTGTGTTTCACACCATGCAAAGATTCACTCACTGCCATAGAGGAAGTTCTTACTCAAGAGTGATCTGCCATTGGATTTTATTAGGAATAAAAAGATGCCATTTCTAATACCTTCCTTTCTTCCTAAGTTCATACGTTTCTTTTTACATTGATGATGAAGGTAGTTTCGATTGGTAGACGTAGAGAACTTAATTTGGAATAGAAGTGAGTTTTCTCTTAACACTAGAGACCCAATTCTCATATATAAAAAAAAAAAAGAAAAAAATTTTTGAGGAAGCACCAAACTGTCTTCCAGAATGGTTGTACCATTTTACAATTCCACCAACAATGCATAAGAGTTCCTTTCTTGTCACTTCCTCTCCAACATTTATTACTTGCTGCCCTGTTAAACTTTGCCACTGTTACTGGAGTGAGATGGTACCTCATTGTGGTTTTGATTTGCATCTCTCTTATTGCCAGTGATTTGGAGCATTTCTTCATCTGTCTGTTTGCCAGTCAATATCGTCCTCTGTGAAAATTGTTTCCATGTCTTTTGCCCATTTTGTAATTGAGTTATCAGTCTTTTTCTTGAGGAGGCCCAGGAGGACTCTGTAAACTTTTGTTATAAGACTCTTGTCTGAGATGGTATTACCAAATGTTTATTCCCAATCTGTAGGTTTTCTTTTCACTCTGTTGGGAAAAGTTTGTTGTTTTTTTTGTTTGGTTTTTTTTTGGAAAAGTTTTTGATGTGCACATTCCATTATTTGGAATATACCCTGAGAATATGAGGACTGAGGCACAAACTGAGATTTATACACCAATGTTCATAGCAGCATTATTCACCATTGAAAAAATGTGGAAACAGCCCACATGTCCAACCATAAACGAATGGATTGAGAAAGTACGGTACCTTCATATAATAGTATACTATGCAGCACACAGGAGCAGTAATTCTGTAAATTATTACCTAACTTGGGAGGGACTGGAGAGCATTATGCTGAGTGAACTTACTCAGTCCCACAAGGATAAATACTGTATAAAACCATTATTGTAGAATGAGTATAAGGGTCCAGGAGAGGTGGGAGAGGTTGAAAGCAGAGGGGTGGTGGTGGGGTGTGTGTAGGGGAGATTAATCATTGGGTTGTACAATTTGATGAGTTGGGGGGGTGAGGGAAGTTGATTTTGTTCGAATTTGTATTAGAATTTTGTAAATAAACTAGTAGAAAATATTTTAAAAATTTAAAAAAAAAAATGAAAAGCTAGACCTGTGAATTAACTGAAGATAGACTGAAAAAGAAATTTATGCTCATTTTACTGAAGGCAAATCTTTTACATTAGCAAGGCACATTGGCCTCTGTTGTTGTTGTTGTTATGTGCTGTCGAGTCGTTTGCGACTCATAGCGACCATATGTACAACAGCCCTAAACCATGCTCTATCCTGTGTCAGTCTCACTGCCTCTCACACACCCATCCCGATTATCCCAGTCACTGAATCAATCCACCTCATAGAGGGTCTTCCCCTCCTGCGCAGTCCCTCTACTCTACCCAGCATGATGTCCCTCTCCAGAGACCTGTCTCTCCTTGCAGCATGTCCAAAGGACTGCCGAGAAAACAAACAGGTTCATCCTAGAGAGGGTTAAACCAGGCTACTCCTTGGAGGCAAAGATTCTGGGGCTTCGTCTGACATACTTTGGACATACTTTGGCTTCTGTAGTATGTAGTACCTTGAAATAATTCTGGCATGTAAGGCCTCATCCTACGAGGATATTTTGATTAAAGGATGTTGCTGAGGCAGCTTTGATTGTATATTATTTTCAACGATTATTTTGTTCAAAGACATGTAGACAGTACCTCTTGTGGCAGCTGGTCACAGAGAAATGGATAGTTCATCTATATATACTTGTCTCAACCAGGACTGTAGAGTTTAAACAAACCACTTGCCTCTCAGGCCTCCAACAACTGACCCTCAGACTCTGCACCAAGGTTTACCACAGTTTTCCTCAAAGGGCAAGATAATAATTTAGCCTTTGCTTTCAGGGCTATACTTTGGGTAAAGTTTGGTTGCAAGACAATTCTTACTTTGAGGGAGCACAGTGGTAGCACCTCTTTTTTCTGTTTATTCTTTCAAAACAAAGCAAAAAAATATTTTGGCTTCAGTGATATTTGTTCAACTCTCTATCCCCATACAAGAGCAACAGTAGACAATATGTACATGAATGGATGTGCCCTTATCCCAACAGAACTTTATTTACAAAAACAAGTCACGGGGAGCTCTGGTGGCCTAGTGGCAAGGAGCTGCAACTACAATCCCAGAGGTGCACGGTTCGAATCCACCAGATGCTCTGCCGGGGAAGGAGGGACAATCTCCTCCTGTACCAGTCAGATGTGATTTGACGGTACACTCACACAAAAATAATAATAAATCAAACAAACAAACAAAAAAACAAGTCATGAGCCAGGATTTACAAAGCACTATGAGTCCTCGCTACTCAACCCTTTATTCAGGGAGTAGTTATTGTGCTCTTATGATGTATTAATGCTCTCACCTACTAACTGAAAGCTTAGCAGTTCAAGTCCACCCAGAGGTGACTTGGAAAAAAGGCCTGGTGATCTTTAGTTGTTACGCGCTGTTGACTCCAACTCATAGCTCCCCTCTGCCCTAACCTATGCCATCCTCGCAATTTTCACTGTGCCTAAGCCCGTTGTTGTTGTTGTTGTTGTTGTGTCGGTCTCTCTCAATGAAGATCTTTGCACTCCTTCACTGGCTTTCCATGTGATGTCCCTTTCCAAGCACTAGCTCCTTTTGACGACACACCCAAAGCTAAAGAAAGTCTCACAATGCTTGCTTCTAAGGAGCACTCTGGCAACACTTATAAGCCAGTTTTTTGTTTGTTTTTAAAAATCAACCATTAAAAACTCTGGACATAGTTCCACTCAGACAGACATAGTGTCCAGGAGTTGTGATTGGTTGGGGGGGGGGGCGGGAAGGAGACACCTGCCTGCCTTCAGTTTACCAGCTTTCTTCACTACATTGTATTCTGATCCACCTTTCCTTTCAAGTGCTGTATTGGGAGTGGGAATGTGGGTCTAGAAGTCTCTACCTTGTTGTCCTTATATGCACAATGATAGCTTCAAGTTAGTTGAACCGTATGACTCCTTTCAGTTCTTAATACTGGTGATTGAGTGTCTTTGAAAGGAAACAAAGTGCTGTGAGCACCAGAAATTAAGCTTTGCAATAGTGAAAATTAGTGGTCATAGCAGAATTGACACAGCAGTAACTGATTGTATATTTCATTTATTTGAACTTTGAACCCAAGTTATGGTTATCTCTTGCTATGTCCCTGAAAGTACGTTAGAATCAGCATTTTAAAGTTTTAGATCTTGGGAGCTCTTAAATTGCTTGAACAGTAATAATGAGGGATTGTTGTTATTGTCTACTGTAGAGTCAGAACCAACATGTAGTTCACTCTCCATTGGGTTTTCAGAGACAGTAAATCACACGGGAAGAGATTGCCCATCTGTCTCCCAATTTCTTGTGAATACGAAACACATGACTTTGGGATGCAGTGCAGCAGTTTCTTTCTTTTTTTTAAAAAATTGTATTATTTTCACATGTACTGTCAAATCAGATCTGACTGGTATAGGAGGAGATTGCCCCCTCCTTCTCCAGCAGAGCATCTGGTGGATTTGAACCACATACCTCTGGGATTGCAGTGCAGCGTCTTGCCTCTAGGCCACCAGATCTCCCTAATAATGAGGAGTTGGGGAGATGGAAAACAATAAATGTTTGGTATTCAAATAATGCTGCGTTGTTGTTCTTGTTCTTGTTAGGTGCCATATATGACTCATAGCGATCCCATGAACAAAAGATCTGAACCCAGCTCTCTCCCGTGCCATCCTCACGTCTCTTGATACACACTCTATTGCTGCATAGGATGAGCTTTATAGAGGACTAATAGCTAACTTGCCTCATTTGAGATTACAGTGGTTGTAAAGGTGTTTTCATTTGCCTTCTGCTTTAGTCTAGGATCAGTCCAGTGAACTGGACATAATTCTAGAAGTTCTGATTCAGTAGGCCTGAGACACGGGCTCTGTGCTCTGTGGTTAACAAGATCTTCAGATGATTTTGATGATGAGAGTTTGAGAATGGGTTTCTTATCTCATGCCTAGCTTTTTCTTTTTAGAGCTTGCCATCTGGTAAGATAAATACTAAATATAAGTGGACTTACTCATTGTTGTGGACTTGGAATTGATTTATACATAGCCGACCCTTCAGAGGATTCTCAGAGGCTGTGATTTGCACAGGAGGAAATGACTTTTCTCCCTCTTACACACACCCCTACCCCTACCCCCACCACCACCCGCACCCTTCTGCTGAGCAGCTGGTGGATTTCAAACCTCTTGCCTTTGGTATTTACAGCACATCTCCTTAGCCACTAAGCTCAGAGTCTCTGTGAGCAGGCTAGAAGTAAAGTGGGTGAGCCAGAAAATGTGACCAGGCTGTTCTTACTACTTGGAAGTAAAGAAAAATAACAAATTAACCTTTTAAAAAAATTTTTTTATACTGGTTTACCTACACAGTTTGGATACATTGCCTCTCACACTGGATCTCCCCCCTTCCCCAAACCACCCCCTCTCCACCCATCAATCCCTACGACCCATGATTACCCCCCCAACCGAAACAAATGAACTTTTGATGGTGCTCCAGTAGATTACACGTTTGTAATATTCATACTGTGTTTGGATCTGAGCCCCTTTAGGTTATTGTTTTCACCAGTGTCACTGTTTTACAGTTGAGACTGACACATCAGTTCAGTGTCCCTTAGCTAGGACATTAACCCAGCAGTCAACCTTCAAAACCCTGTTTCCACTCTGTCTCACTGTTGACAGTGGTCAGAGGCAGTGCGAGGGGGGTGTGGCATAAGTTGTGTGATAGTGGACTACTTCCATGGACTTTTCAAAAGCCATTTAATGCTGAAATTCTCTCCAGATCTTCTGCAGACTCCACTTAAATTGACACTGTAACCTATACCTACTTGCTACTAGGTCTCCACCTAGTTAGATTGTCATCCAAACCCACCACAGACCCCATGCTTGTTTTCTTACATACTCATTCTCAGGTCATACTTGTGAATCACCTGTTCTTTATTGGATTACAGTGTGTGGTCTGAATTCCAGTTGAGTCTCAGTGGATTTTCCACTTGGTGTGTTGTTCCCACCATGCCATTCATAGTTGCTTTGTTGTGTTGAATTGATTTCTTCTCGGGCATGAAGTGGAGAGATTGGAATAATTTTATTGGCTCTATCTCCTCTACTTCATTCAAATCAAATAAATACCAGGTGGGATAAGTCAGTAAGGTTTGCCTGAAACTCCGTAAGGTTTATTCTTTTTAGCTTCAAATTTTGTTTCTCCAAACTGACGGAAGAAAGTTGCTAGGGTTCTGTGCTGTTGATGTGATCTCTCTTGAATGGCCTCATAAAAACGTAGGAGCTGAAAGAGCCTACCAAGATCTTTGGCTCTTAATAGTAGGGAAGAGCACCTGTCATCCACCTTCCTGTGTTTAAACAGGACAAACTCAACTGTCATCAAGTGGGAACTGACTCATAGTTGACCCTCCAGCGAGTTTCCAGAGGCTGTAAATCTCATAGAAGAGATTGCCCATCTTTCTCCTCTAGAGCAGCTGGTGGATTTGAACTGCTTGCCTTTGGGCAGCACAACCCACCTTCCTTGAGACATTTCATAAATGTTCTTGAGTTTCCTTCTGTCATCTTAAAGATGGTATCTGTCATCTTAAAGCATCTGCCTGTTGGCTCTATGTCTTCCTTGAGCATCAGCAGCAGAGAATAGCCCACTTCTCCCTTTCGGTGTCAACTCCAGCCACTGGAAGAGTGAGCCTTATGTTTTGGGACCATACCAGAAGTCCGGGGTACAGTGTTGCGTTTCCACAATGAGATGCTAGTTGCTGGGGAAAGTATTTACTAAACATGAGATCCTTTCTCTCAGACCTTGTTCTGAGTGGTTTCCTCCAGGTGTTAACTCTGCCCTGACTTCCTTTTAGGGGGGTTAGCCTGTGGTCATCTACATGGCGTGTCTTGCATAGCCTTTTGCATTTCATCTTCATCTATCTCCTCACCAATGCATGTCTCCCTTCTAAGTGATGACCTCATAAAAACGTAGGAGCTGAAAGGGTCTGCCGAGATCTTTGGCTCTTAATAGTAGGGAAGAGCATCCCTTCTGAGTGATACTCAGAACTTCCCCATCCACACATCTCTGTCCCTTTCTTACTGCCAGGGCTTGCCTTCCTTAGCACCACTGTACATGGGTCCCCAGCTTCTGACTTTTGTACTTATACATGTTGTTTTTCTTCTAAGTCTTCTTAGGACTTCTTTATGTCTCTCTATTCTGTCTTTTGTACACATATTGTGTCTCCTTTGTCCTTCGAGTTTCCATTGGTTAAGAGCTTGGCTGCTGAATAAAAGGTTGGTTTTCTGTGGGAGAAATATGTAGCAGTTTGCTTTTAAAAAAGGTTTAGCAGGCTGAGATACCCTGTGGGGAGGTTTTACTTTGCCCTATTAGGGTCACCATGTGTCAGAATTGGCTGGACAGCAGTAAGTTCTTACTGGGTTAGTACAGATCAGTACCCAGTACACTGAGTCATTGAACAGAGTGGGATTGCCTAGTGTAAATCCAAGGGAGCTTGGCTTTGCAGTAAGGAATTGTACTGCCAATACAAAGGTCCATGGTTTGAATCCACCAGCTGCTCTGTGGAAGAAAGATGGGCCTTTTCCTCCTGTGTAATTTACTGCCTCTGAAAACCTGCTGGAGAGTCAGCTATGGGTTGGTTCCAGCTGATGGTGCACAACCACAGTATAAGTCCAAGCCTGTCACTTACTGTGTGACCTTGAACAAGTTACATAGCTGTTCTGGGGTTCGAGTGTCTATGAAATGAGGATGTATTAGTGAGACTGGCTCAGGGCAGAGCAGGGATCAGAGCTGCTGTACATGGGGTCGCAGGTGACATAACAGCAACATGGTAATCCTCCTGCACTAACCAGCTGAGCAGAGCGTCTCCTATGTGGCAGACACTCAGTAAATGTTGCCTGTCAGTACTGCTGTGATGAATGCTGAAATAGTGGAAACCATGCCAAAATGTTTGGCCTACCATGCCACCCACAACTTTTACAATTCAGTGACTCTGTCATTTTCAATCTGCTCTGTGTTGGCATCAGAAAACTTGTCTTTCCTGAGTGAAACACTGTTGATTGCTCCTGTCTCACTCATTTCCTCTCTCTGATAGGCAGGTCCATGAGATCCAGTCTCACATGGGACGCCTGGAGACAGCCGACAAGCAATCTCTGCACTGTGAGTAATTAACTGGGAGACCAGAGTCCTTTCTCTGATGACACGTTGCTAATGGGCTGGGTTTCCTGCCCGCCTTTCTGCCTTGGAGCTTAATGATTCAGTGAGAATGAGTTTTGTCGTGAGGGTGGACAGAAACACCCCCTGGCAAAGTGGCTGATTTCCCTGATTGTATCCTCTGGAATCCCACAGGTCTTATCCCCCATTACCCCTCCACTCAACCTGACATGGCCCCTTGGGAATGGACCTTCTCTCCTCCATCTGTCTTAATCTAATTACCGAGCCCTGAGAGGAATGTATTTCGTAAAAATTAAGATGTTTAACTGGAAGCGGTCATTTCTTCTAAGCTGAGAACAGTGGTTCTCTAGGAGGATTATTCTGAAATGAATAGCGATATTAATTAGTTTGGTTCCCACACCATGATCTCTTCTGAGAAAAGCGCCCTTTTTTGTTTTTAATTCTATTAGCAGGAGTGCTTTGTCAGAGTCAGTGCTGTGGATGCTCCTGGTTACCCTCAAGCCACCTTCTCACCTGGCTCTGGCGGGTTTCCTCAGCCTCCCTTCTGCAGCCTCTGAAGCATCGGTTCTGAGCCCCGCCTTGCTCTAATCTAGCTGAGTGTTTGGTGTAGGCGTGAAGCCCTAGGAAGGGGCAGTGTCCCTGCTGCTGTCAGTCCTCCATGTGAGGAGTAGTCTGGACGCCTCCTGAAAGCTATCCACTTTCTACCCACTGGGCTTTGTTTGCCCTCCCAGCAACCCCATTGTTTCATGATTAGAAATGGAAAAGGGGTCATGTCGACTGTCTTATCAAAAGGGATAAGGAAACTGACTGGCTTTGTCGTATCTTTACCTCTGTCGATCTTTCCTGGACCTTTCCTACTGATACGTGGTCTATTTTGGGGCTTTGAACATTGCTTGGCCTGCGCACTCTTACCAAAGCCTAGGTAAGGGGAGTCTTCTCTGTGCCCTGCGTGTTGTCATCTCCTCTTCCTTTCAGGGGGTGGTTTTTTAAAAACCTCATTACTGTAGAGAATTCGGTTGACAACATTTAACCAGATATTTGTAATCCATACATGAAAGCAATCTCAAAGGTGGTAAAAGGAACTCCCTCTGCTGGAAAATACTGTGTTTCTCCTGTAGTATTGACATGGACAGCTTTTACTCATTTCACTTGTCGAAAGGCTAAAAATGTATTTCTGCAGATGAGCCATCAGTTTGTTAGAAATTGGCATCTCTCTGGCATTAGCAAAGTTCCAGGTTTTATTTTTTTCTTAAATAAACATTGACCATGTAGGGTCTCCTAGGATGCCTTCAGTTTTTCCTTTTGGTAGCTGTCATCGGATTGACCGCCACTCTGAGTGATTGTGAACAGATCTGACCCTTGTCCCATCCTTTCCTCACCGTCTCTCATGCTCCGGCCCATGATGACAGTCACTAGTTTATTATTATTCATTAGTGTGTACATTGTTCTTTTAAAATACATGTATTTTTTATCTTACTGGATATGGAGGAGAAAATAAACCAGATTATCCTCTTTTCTAGTAATTACTCTCTTTTTCTCTTTTATGCAGTAATAGAAAATGAAATCCAAGCAAAAATAGACCAGCTCTTCAGCAGTCTAGACCGTCTGGAGATTTTGTCCAGCAAAGAACCCCCTAACAAAAGACAGAGCGCGAAGCTGTGAGTGCTGACCTCTGACCTGACTGGGAGACCCCAGACCCATCGAGGCAATCTTTTCCTTCGAATGGGAGCAAAAGTATCTTGAAAACCCATTCATATGTTGCAAGACTTGAAACTTTGCAAAGGTCGAATCTACCTCAAGACACAGTTCCAACTGAGTGATGCCACCTCAAAGGGAACAGCTTGTGACATCTGGAGCCCAGAAACTCAGTGTCCTCGTCCCTCTTCTTTGTCATTTGAAATTTGCCTCCAGTGCTGTTCTTCTGGCCAAGCCCAGAGGGCCCTGTCACAGTGTTCTGATCTCTGTGGCTTTCACTGCGTTCTTTTGCTCTTAACCACTCCATTCAGTCCGTTATAATCACATACTGTGCTAATGTTTGATACATCATGATGAAATTTAGCTGAAGTCACCCTCACCACCTACACCAACCCTGCTCCCAAAAGTCTGTTGAAACTTTACTCCACAAGTGCCCTTGGGCTCCTTTTAGGAGCTCAGTATAATCCTTGGAAGGTCAGGAAAAAGTCATCACGCCTGCTTCCTGTCACCTGTTCTCTGTCAGGTTCTCTGTCAGGTGCCCAGAATCCGAGACCAGCAGATATCTAAGTAAAACTCCTGGAGTCTCTGCGACAGCCCCTCTTGGACCACAAGCTGTGTCTTGGATCCAGATCAGATTTGAGGGGGGGTGGAGGATAACAGCATGCGTCGGTATACAGAGAAGTGAGGAAATGTCTTCTTCCTAATTAAACAGCCTGTCCATCTCCACTGTATCATGCTGGATTCCTGGAATTTAATCTCTCTCTTTATCAATTCTAGGCGTGTTGACCAGTTAAAGTATGATGTCCAGCACTTACAGACTGCTCTCAAAAACTTCCAGCACCGACGCTACGTAAGGGAGGAGCAGGAGAGGCAGCGAGAGGAGCTTCTGTCTCGTACCTTCACCACTAACGTAAGCCAGGGTGCAGGTGCAGATGCTGGGACACGGGGCTGGAGGGAGGGCAGGGCTCTGAGCTTCATCTTCTCAGGGTGTCAGGAGGGACAGATGAGGACCAGCTAGAACTGCCAGGGCACTTTCTGTCCATAGAAGCTAGACCTAGACCAGGGAGCTCTTCTTCTCATATAAAATCTGAAGAAAAAGCAGTTCCATTAGAGGAACATGCAGAGATGCAAACTACGTGGTTTGGCTCGTCTGATGCAGAGGTGGAAACCCGGTGGAAACATTTTTCTAATCAGATAGAGACAGATGATTAGATCTTTCGGACAGCTGGGCAGAGGCGTGTGTGTGTGTTGTCTGTGTGGGTCTGTGTCTCTCTGTGTGTCTGTGGGGGGGTAGTATTGGCAGTTGAATTCCAGTGTCAGTGACCTTAAGATGTTTTTGCCCCTATTCTAAATAGCAATTTGGAGGAATTTGTTAACAGATGTTTAGTTATTAGGTTGCTGGACTTGAGCTTGTTTGCACATAGCCATTATACAAACCACCAAAAGAGAATTTCTGTGTGTTTCTACAGAAGGGTCCATTTTCATGCTCAGAGTTAAGATTGAGTCTTGCCTGCAGCTGTTCAGCACTCTCTGTGGTTTGCAGTTGGCTGGTGCAGCTCCCCTGGTAGCTCTGAGGGTGCCCCTGCAGAGTTTAGCTAGTGTGAGCGGTCAGGGAGCGGTGACGACGGTCCAGAGAGTCTGCACAGCCCATGAGAGGCTGGAGGCCTCTGCTACTTGAGGCCTGTTTTGGACTGAGGCTGCTTAGGATTTTCTGGTCTCTTGCCAGCCTGATGTGGTTCTGTGCCTACAGCGGGCTCTTAGGAAACATGGACTGACCCAGTGAATGTCTTCCTGGTCACTGCACTACCTGGAGGTCTTTGAGGGACCATGTTCATTAGCCACACTTTATCAGATGGTAGAGTAAGAACATTTTGTATATAAAAAGCATGCAGTAAGTGCTTGTCAGGTTAATAAACAAATGTCTCTAATGGACTCCTTGGACTCTGAAACCTACTGGCCTGATGAGTGGTGGTCTCGGGGTGGGGGGGTGTGCTGTAAGTTGCAGCTGACTCATAGCTGACCCTCCTCTTGGTTTTCAGAGGCTGTAAATGGCCTGGAAAGAGATTGCTGATCTCTCTTCCATGGAGTAGCTGGTGGATTTGAAGTGTGTGCCTTTGGGTTGGCAGTACAGTGCCTTACCACTAGGGCCACCAGGGTTCCCTTCCTGAGCATTGGCTGCATGCAAAGTGCTAAGAGTAAAAGCCTCTGATAAAAATGAAAAGACTTGTCCACTACCTGTGAGGAGGAGAGTTAGTTAGCAGGGAGTAATAACTACTTAATTCGAGTAGCGGAATAGGCGGGTTAACCTCTTTATGACAATTGAAACTTGACTCTAAGTGGTAAAACAACAGCTTGTGATGGTCAGGAACTCGAAAAGAGAGAACTGCAGCGGGGTTCTGTTCATAGTCCTCTCCGTGGAGACCAGCCACCAGGATCAGTGTGGAGCAGATCCCTCCAATCAGGTTAAATGATGGGCGCCCGGCTTGTTACCTGGATCTGTGCCACCACTTTCCTCCCCAGCCGTTCTCCGTGGGCGTTGAGTTTCTTTATCTATAGAGTGGGGATAAAAATACTGTAATCACTTCTTAGAGCCAGTGTGAGGTTTACGGCAGCTTAGGGTAATGGGCATGCCAAGTATATAATATCTGGTCAGTATTATTTTCTCTTTACTTAGCAACTTTTCTTACCTCCTTGAGAGCATATCCCACTGCTGTTAGGGGCCCACTGATTTACACGAGCCCAGGAAGACTGAACTACCACTTGAGGTTTCCAAGGCAGTAAATCTTGATCTCAAGATGAAAAGATTTCATCAGCAACATGCAGGACATACAGTCTTACTTGCTGAATGTGAGGAGGGCTTGAAACACTGAAGATCAAAGAGGAAAGCTTTGAATATGGATTGCAGCTCAACATCAAGAAAATGCTTGACTAATAGGTAACATCCTGATCAATGGAGAAAAGATGGAAGTTGTAAATGATGTAAACTTGGACCCACAATCGACACCCATGAGTATAGCAATCAAGAAGTCAGAGTATATTCCACCGGGCATGTCTGCTGTCAGGGACCTTGTTAACATGGCAGCGAGCCAGGATGTCACTTTAAAGACTGAGTGGCTCCTGGCCCAGGCCAGGGTATTATCAGTTGCTTCAAATATGTGTGACAGATGGACAATAAATAAGGAGGACAATGAATTGATGCTTTTGAGTTGTGGTGTAGGTGAAGAATATTGAATGCACCATGAACTGCTGAGAGAACAAACAAGCCTGTCTTGCAAGGGTAGCTAGAATGTTCCTCGGAAGGAAGGATGATGATGATGGTGAAACTTTGTCTCACACACTTTGAGCATCAGACTGGGCAGAGGGCCAACAAGGAAGAGGAAGACTCTTGGAGAGGTGAATTGGTGTGGGGATTGGAGCAGTGGGTTTGAGCACAGCAGAGGGTGAGGATGGGTGGGTGCAGACAGGCTTTCTTTCTCTCGCACCTAAGGTCGCTTTTAGTTGGTGCTGACTTGACAACACCGTACAACAAATCTTTAAGGAAGAATGCCACTTCTTCCTCTGGAGCAGCCGATGAGTTCTGTCAACCTTTTGGTGGCAGCTAAGTGCTTAACCACAGTGCCACCAGGCCTCCCTGCTTGGGAACATAGTCCTGTCGGACATTTATTAAGGTGTTAGTTGAAGACAGTCTCTTCTACTCTCCATCAGTTTCAATCTGATTAGACAAAGAAGCTGGAAATGAAATAACTAAAGAAAAAACAAACATCTACCCACAATATTATGTTAGATGAATCCCAGGAAAGGAACATTTAAAACAGCCTACTTAGTGAATTGTTCCCATCCCAAAGAAGGGTGACCCAACTGAGTGTGGAAACTACAGAACAGTATCATTGATTTCACATGCAAGCAAGATTCTACTGAAGATTATCCAAAAACGACTGGAACAGCATATCAGCAGAGAACTGCCAGAAGTCCAGGCTGGGTTTAGAAGGGGTCGTGGTACTAGGGATATTGTAGCTAATGTTAGATGGATCTTAGCTGAAAGCAGAGAATACCAGAAGAATGTATATCTGTGTTTCATTGATTATGCAAAGGCATTTGACTGTGTGGATCATAACAAACTGTGGCTGACTCTGAGAAGAACGGGAATCCCAGAACATTTAATCGTGCTAATGCGAAACCTATACTTGGACCAGGAGGCAGTCGTCAGAACAGAGCAGGGCAACACTGCATGGTTCAAAATTGGGAAGGGTGTACGCCAGGGATGTGTCCTGTCTCCATACCTTTTCAGCCTGTATGCAGAGCAGATTATCCGAGAGGCTGGGTTCTATGAGGAGAAGCGTGGCGTTAGGATTGGTGGATGATCTATCAACAGTCTGCGTTATGCAGATGACACAACCCTGCTCGCTGAAACTGAGGAGGACCTCATGCACTTACTGCAGAGGGTCAAGGACTGCAGCCTTCAATATGGACTGAGGCTCAATGTCAAGAAGACAGAAATTCTCACCACTGGACCAATCGGTAGCATCAGGATGGATGGCGAAGAGATTGAGATTGTTCACAGCTTCAGTTTGCTCGACCCCACAGTCAACACTCTTGGCACCAGTAGCCAGGAAATAAAAAAACGTATTGCGATGGGAAAGTCTGCTGTTAGGGACCTCTCTAAAGTACTCAAGAGCAGTGGTGTCTCTCTGGAGACTAAGGTGCACCTGATACAGGCCATGGTTTTTGCAGTCACTTGTTATGCATCAAAGAGTTGGACAATGACTAGGGAGGACAGAAGGAGAATTGATGCCTTTGAGCTGTGGTGCTGGAGAAGAGTACTGAATGTACCATGGACTGCCAAGAAAACAAACAGATTCATCCTGCAGAGGGTTAAACCAGGCTACTCCTTGGAGGCAAGGATTCTGGGGCTTCGCCTGACATACTTTGGACATATTGTAAGGAGAGACAGGTCTTTAGAGAGGGACATCATGCTGGGTAGAGTAGAGGGACAGCGCAGGAGGGGAAGACCCTCTATGAGGTGGATTGATTCAGTGACTGGGGTACTCGGGATGGGTGTGTCAGAGGCAATGAGGTTGGCACAGGATAGAGCACGGTTTAGGGCTGTTGTACATAGGGTCGCTATGAGTTGCAAACGACTCGACGGCACATAACAACAACAACTTAGTGAATTGTCAGAGGAACCTTTGGAAGGATTCAGAGGCGTTCTTAAAAGAATGGATCCGTTTCCCAAGTGAAGGTAATGGTCTAGAATCAGGAGTTAACGAGATCTGCACAGGAAAGATCCTTTGGGGAGCTACTGGTTCGCGCAGCTCTGCATCCCTGGCGTGAGGCTCTTTGGTTTTTCTTCTTCCAGGCTCTGTTGCCTCTGCGTTCGTCCCTCTGGCTGCTCGAGCAGTTGGAAAAGGGGCCCCAGGAGGTGAGCAGCCAGCAGAGTTAATCACCTGTGTTTCTTTCCCAGGACTCTGACACCACCATCCCAATGGACGACTCTCTCCAGTTTAACTCCTCCCTCCATAAAGTTCACCATGGCATGGATGACCTCATTGGAGGCGGCCACAACATTCTGGAGGGACTGAGGGCCCAGAGACTGACCTTGAAGGTGGGGTCCCTGCTGAGGGATGGGGAGAAGGCCTCACATTTGGGTCTTCTCCACCAGTTTGTGTCTGTGTTTGTATTTTGATGATGTCATGTTGTGATGGTGGCCAGAGCCCTTGAGGTGAGGGGACTTCTTGTTCGATTATTGTGAACCCAAAAGTAGCCAAGTTCCCTTTGCCGCTAGTCCTTCGGGTGCCAAAACGGCCCATCTTCTGGGCTCTGTCTGTAGCCAGGTCTTTTGCTGAACTCACCATGGCAGTAACTTCTACTATGAAAAGAACCGAAAATGACTGAGAAAGGCTATTTTAGAGTTTGTTTTCTTAAGAGTGAAAATGTGGTTGCGCTCTGGTCCCTGCTTCTAAGGGGATTTTTCCTTAGGCCCCGATCATAGCTCTTTTGTAACCGTTTCTGGGGGTCGGGTCCCAGGGCTGCCCTGGCTCCTTAGCAGCAGAGGTTCTGGAGCACACAGTGGTTCCCTGCAGCGCTGCCAGCACAGGTGCCCCTAGAAGCCCTCCTCGTGGGCACTGCTGAGGCTCAAACCCCTTGGGAGTGGTTTATAGAAACATTACACAGACTCTGATGTCAGGCTTGATGTTTCCGCCTCAGCCCTTTTCCTGTATCAGTCCTAATGGATAACGGGGTGTGGGCTGTGCCTGTTATCAGGGTGTGGTCCCTGTGAACGAAGCACTCCCTCCACTAAGCTGTGAGAAACAGTCACAGGGAAGCCAGGGCTTTATCTTAGTTTTGGTTGGACCATGGTGAGCCTGTCACCTCTGCTGGACTTCGAGACATTGCTGAGCAGCCTCTGCCACCTTGACCGGCGAGCGGGTAATGTGTTCTGAGGACCACGATGATCCCCATCAGTGATCCCAGTGACCTAGAGGCCTGGGCGTGTGGTGATCTGTGGCCTCATGGATGCCTCCCTTTCACAATAGCCAGTAGAATCCTTTCAGGGCCGGACTCCTGGCCCCACTTCTGCAGGCCTCGGGGAGAGCTGACCCCAGCACCCCTCCTGCAGGCCTCCGGTAGAGCACTGTGCAGTACTGGCTTCATGTCCACGTCGGCAGCATGGAGGTGCCCACCTCTTGGGGACCTGTGCTGTTCTCCAGGGTACATGCTGGTGCTCCTTGAGATGAAATTAGAGCTTTCCATTCCACTTGTCGCAGTGTGCGCCCACTACACATCTTTTGTCCCTTGAGTCTCTCCAGTCCTCTTCTGCCCACAACTGCCAGGGAGTGTTCCGCCCAAACCATATGAAAGGAACCTAAGGGTACCTGTGAGGGTCCTGGGCTGAAGTCATCTGACTTGGCCCAACTCACTGAAAATGGATCCATTTTTAAAAATTCATTGTCATTTTCAGGTGATCTTAAAAGCTTAAGGTTGGACCATACAGTAGTAAAATAGTCTCTGCTTTCAGAGCAAAACAGAAAGAAATCTTTATCAAGAACATCCTTTCTCCTGTCACTGTCATTTCTCAACTGGTCTCTGGCTGCCATAAGTTTGACTTGAGTGCAGGCTTTCTTGGTGCTTGTTCTGACTGGCATAGTGGGTTTCTTGTTTCCACCCATGATGCTTGGTGGTGTCCTGCATTCCTGGCCTCCGCTGCAGACGCTCGTTAATGTGCATTCACTGGAGAAGTGGCTGGGGACGTGTGATTAGGTGCTCTGGACCAGTGCAGCTGGGATGTGTGCATCAGCAAGTAATTATGGGCCCAGCGTCTGTATGTGTTAAAAATTGATTATGTTTAAAAAGAAAAACTGGAAAGCAGTAAGGGGGACAGGTTGCATGGTTTGGTCTTTTGTTCTGGTGGTAGGTGGGGATATTTATTTAAAGGGGATCCTAGGTCACTGTGTGGGTGTCTGTCCTTGGTGTTTCTGTCTTTCTCACCATGGCCCCCTTTGCAAACATGACCTTGACCCCCACACGGGGTCTGTCTTTATTTTAGATACTGTCTTTATTTTAATAAAGATTAAAATGTAGACTCCAAAATTAAGGTCTAATTGACATACAGTGAAGTACAGTGCCGTATTTTAACAAATACATACCCCTTTGTAGCCCACCCTCTGGTCGAGATGTTGAGTGTTCCCACCACCCTCATCCCCTTCCCACCCGGGCGCACACTCACACAGACACTCTTGTTTATTTCACCTCAATTGACTCTGTCTGCGTTAAACATCATATAAATGTATTCATACGACTCTCTGTGTCTGGCTTTTCTCTCTCGATAATGTGATCCAGCATCATTCATGTTGTTACACATTTAGTCAACTTAAGTGTTGATAATTCAGTCCCTTTTATTGCCAAAGTATATTCCATTGTGCAGATACACCTCCGTTTCTTCACCCAAATGCCTGTTGGTTAGATACCCAGACTCTGTCCAGATTTGGGATGTTCTCTTAGATTTTCTTCCAGAAGTTGTATTAATGTTTTTAACTTTGATGTTAGATTATTTATATATGAAGAGAGAGAGTGCGCACACACTCTGATTGCCTAGTGGGTAAGGAGTTGGGCCGCCAGTACAAGGCAGGGCAGCTTGAATCCCTCAGTGGCTCTGTGGGAGAAAGATAGGCAGACTCCTGCCTTGAGATCAAAAGCCTCTGTAAACCCACTGTGAGTTGATTTTGAGTCCCAGACAATGAGTTTGTTGAATTTTCATACATATTTAGATGTTTTATATGTTGTTATGCACCGTTGAGTTTGAACTCGTAACTGACCCTCCAGCAGGCTGTTTTCGGAGGCTGTCAGTCGTGGAAGGTGGTTCCCTATCTTTCTCCTGCAGAAGAGCTGGAGGATTCAAACCAGCCCCACCTCCCCTTGAATGGGCAGCACAACTCCTGACCCACCAAGCCACCAGCACTCCTGGTACTCTAGCTAGATATTATATATAGCATTTGCCTGTGCTGTATGATTTTAAAGTGAGCTCTAGTGGCTTAGTTGCATTGCCAGCCTAAAGGCAAGTGGTTCGAATCCACCACTCCATGGGAGAAAGATGGCTTTGTTCTCTCATCAATTTACAGCTTCTGAACCTGCTGGAGGGTCTGCTGTGAGTTGATGTGACTTCATGGCACACACCACCACCACCACCACCACCACTACACCATCTGTGGACAGGGCTTTTGGATGGCTCAGGCATTCTGACCCAGATCGGTTGAGCAGAGGAAGTGGGTCTGTTTGTGTTGACGCTGCCTTTCACAGGCTTGGACTTTGCTGAGAGGGTAGCCGCTGCTAAGGCCCAGTCTCTTGATGATACTCACCCCCCCTTTGCAAAGGGAGCTGATGTTGGTTCTCCTTTCGTCTGCCCAGGGCACTCAGAAGAAGATCCTGGACATTGCCAACATGCTGGGCTTGTCCAACACGGTGATGCGGCTCATCGAGAAGCGGGCATTCCAGGACAAGTACTTCATGATCGGCGGCATGCTGTTCACCTGCGTGGTCATGTTCCTCGTGGTGCATTACCTGACGTGAGCAGCCTGGCTCGGCCGTCGGACAGCTGGCCCTCTGCGTTGGAGAGTGTGTGTGAATGTGTGTGCGTGGGTGCGTGCCAGAGCAAGTGGGGACTGAGAGGCCACCTGTTGAAATGGACGCTAATCGTCTGTGAAGACGGCGTGGTCATCTGTAATCTAGAGGACGTGTCAAATGGGCTCTGTCCTCCAGGCCATCTTGGAGGGGGAGCTTTGCTACTAAGGTGCACAGCGCTTAGAAATACCCATTTCTCTCTGTCTCAGAGAAGAAGCCGTGTACAGGGGAGGGGTGAACAAGGAAAGCTAGGAAAAGAATGACTGTCGTGGTTCGATACCGCCTGGGGGCTCTTGCTGTGCCTTGCCACACAGTACCATTATCCGACCTTTCCTGGCAGGCTTGAGCAGAAGTGAAGACTGAAAAGAGCTGTTCCCTGCACACTTTATAGTAGATGTTGACACGTTCCTGCCCCCAGCCGTCTCTTCCCCCATGCCCCCACCCCCCAAGAAGTGACCTGCTAACAACTTAATGCTGATACGTGTCCTCCTCCCCTGGAAGCAGCCACCTAGAGGAAACCAAGACTGAAACTTGCTGATAAGGAGTAAGATTTTCCACATCACAGCTGTCGGGTGTTTTTCCTTCCTAAAGTGAAGCCAGTGACCCTGGTCCCTGACTTTGTCCAGTTCTTAATAGATGGTTGGCTGGCGAGGTGCACAGTGTGCAGCCAGCTCTGTGGGCTTAGGCCCGATGGAGGATGCTGTGAGCAAATGTTCAGGGTTTGCCGGTAGGCATTTCATCTCTAGTTTATCGTTTATGGTCTCTTCCTGGGAATATGGTAGCACCAAGCCCCCAGCCAGGTCACCGCCCTGCCCACTCAGCAGAGGCCGATGCCACCAACAGACAGCTCTGCTCTGTTTGTGCCTGTGAGGGTGCTTTGTGGGACCAGGACCTTGTCTTCTGCTCAGCCATGGTTTAAGGTTCTGTGTTGTGGAATTGACTGGTAAGCCACTCTCTTGAATTCCATTTAATGTGATTAGTTGCTGAAAGTACCGGAGAGAACTGGTTAGCATATTTTCCCCATCTTCACTGCCACCTACCCCAATACATAAAGGAACACTGAATTCTCCAGCAGACCTGGAACCCTGGTCTGCACTAGCCGGCCCATTGCAGCTCCACCTCCTGTACGTGAGTTTCTCCTGTCCTGTTGAGGTGACGTTGGTCACTGTGTCCTTAGCATAGTGTCCCTTTGCTGAGTGTCACTTGTAATTGTCACAGATGTTGAACACATTTCCGGGTACTGGTTTCGCACAGTTGCAGGGGATCTCAGTTGCTCCTAGCCCTCAGTGGTCAACAGGGACCGTAGAAAGGGGACTCTAGCTTCACAAAGGGGCCACTGGCATGACCATGGCATAAAGAAGGTAGACAGTGGTGGGGGTGTCCTCAGACCTCTGCCTGACTAGGAGGCACAGTTTGGAATTTCTGTCTTGTCCAGCCTCACACCCTCACCACTCTGGGGACTTTAGGTCGAAACCGCACGCACCTGGCCACCTTCCAGGCACATGAGGATCCCTCCAGCCGGCACACCGGCACACCGTGGGGGGAAGTGCACAGGCCCACGAAGGCATCTGCACTTGATCTCTGGGAGGCAGAAACCACCCTCTCCCCATCTGCTCCCCCCGGCCCCAGCTAACGGGGTACATGTGAATTGGAAGGAAGGCCCACCTGTGCTGCACCTTCAACACACTCTCCCTATTTTGTAATAAAAATTCTGGAGGCAGTTTGTGTGTCTTTACTCCCAGGAGCAATAGAATGGCAGCCACGGCGAAGGGACAGGTGACTTGGCATCGCATGACGGCTTTCTCCTTGCATTCTACCCTGAGAACCTGGGATCTCCCGTTTCCAGTCTACGGCCAGGGAAGGAGTGCCCTCTAGTGGCATCGGTAGTGCATCCTTGGGTCCAAAAGATACCCCAAATTAGGTGCAATCTTAGGGGATTTGGGTGTCTTGTGATTTAGAACAAGTGGGTTGTCGAGAACTTGAACATCCTTTTATTACATGCCAGTTTACTCCAAGTATGACCACTTTAATATAAGTCAAGCTCGAAGGCTAATCGAGTGAGTTTTATGGAAAGCTTCACTGCTGGGATTTTACCCAAAGTCTATGTATGCCCTGTTAAATTTAATAGAATTGAGTTTGCAAATTTGGACTTATACCCTTTGGTTTTTTTAGCATACCGACTGAATAAAGTTCACATTTATTTTACTGAGAAAATTATTGTAAAGGCCTTGGACATTCATTGATGCAAAAATGCCCCTCGTTTACGTTTTCAGACCAGAGATTCTCATGCTGCGCTGGGGCCACGGTTGGGGTGACTGTCTCAGCAGTGGGGGGTTTTACATTTTAGGTTTTGGGTTCCTATGCTAGACCTGAATTGAGAAGTGTCGGTGGGGTGATTAGGATATCTGTCAGAGCTCTAGGGTCCCCCAACATTCTCGACCAACTCAGCAGTGAGTTGGAGGGATTTGGGGTTTATGTCTCAGATAGCTGAGCTGCTGACCTCTGCTGGGTGGGGTCCACCTGTAGCCCCGCAGGAAAAAGACGCGGGTCGTGTGTCCCCG